TAATATTGTAAAATATTTTAATTAAATAACTGATTGATTAATACAATTAAAATTTAAAATAATACGTACAATAACGTAGGAATATAGTTAAAAATATTCAGTACTGTACTTAAATTTAGTTAAAAAAAACAATATATATCTATATACCACATCGCTAAGATTACATTAATACTATAATTATTTTCTCCTAAATTTATTGCCAATTTTCTTTAAATTGTCGTTTAATTTTGAAATAAGCCCTTTCGGCATTTTCGTTTCGATTGGTCTCACGAGAATGTTATTTTCGAACATCAGTTTCCAAACATTCGGTGGTAATTTTCCTAGGAGAAGTTTTTTGAATTCTTCTAGAAATAACATTCGCAACTGGTGGGCTTTCCTTACTACCAGTTGCTTTGGAAGTGTAGACCCTTCTGTAGTGGACGTCGATGAACCATCCGATTCAGGTGAACGTTCTATATCCGCCACGTTAAGTGTCACGATATTTTTTTTATSCTGGTCATACCAATGTGTTGGGTACTCGGCACAATAATCGTTTTTCGTATCCAGATAATCACTTAGTTTAAAGGCCTTACGTTTGATTTCATTCTGGTACATTTTCGATTTTTTGTTTTCCTCACCGTAAGTGACCCACTTCGTTCGTACCTCACTGAAAAACTTGGCCACTGCGATCAGAGGAACTAGATCCGCGTCGAAGGTGGCCAGCAGATTGGCGATTATCTGAAAATCTTCCTCCAGGCCTTTGAGGTGCAAGGCGTACTCATTTATAGCAGAGTGGGGTATAGACTGTATGGCATCTAGCTGGAGCTTAGCGTGTCTGCTGAACAGGCACTGGGCTGAAACGGCCACTATATAGACAGCGAACTCCACGTACATGCCCGAGTGAGAGCAGTGCGTCATGACGTTTTTCACGAAATCGATCGCGTTAATATTTCCTTTGATCTCRGGGAGTGATGGACAGAACTCTTTAACCAGACCTGCGTCTTCAACCACATCCGGTTTAAGCGTTTCGCTCCAGACAGCCGACCATTCCGTATCCATAGCCAGCACCGTGGTCAACAACTCCAACCTATCCCGATGCTCGGCCGGAATTCCGTCCATCATCAGGCCGCTCTCTTCTTCTAAACTGAGCACGCCGCCACTACCGATGCCCTTCAACGGCGGCAGCAGAAGTAGCAGTAGCAGTAATAGCGATGGTGCGGATATAGCGTAACTTCCGCCGAGTTCTATCTTCGTAGCTATCATCGCGTCGTTCACAGTATGGCAGATAATTTGAGGACAACGTTCTCGGTTACCGCGAATTCGAACAATATTGTGCGGCGTTTTTTGAAAGGGAACAAAGAGAAGTTTATAAAGTATATTATGGAAGAGGAAAAAGACAACAAAACAACAAGCTTTATTTACACAGTTTTTTATTATTATTATTAAGCCATACAACCTGCAAMCGACTGCTGTAAGTCGTCTGATGCACCGAATCGATTTTAAAAAATCGACTATACGGAGTGCGTCATGAATATTTGTACCTATATAAAATGTTTTATATGTAAATGCGTCCATGAGTAAATTCATTTTCAAGATACACACTGTAAAACCGTATACAGTTGGCCACAATCATAAATTTCAAAATTTGAAATCTCACCTTTTTTGTTTTAAGTAGGTATCCAGTTATAAAATATCCAGTTTTTATTTTTTTCATATGATTTATTGTTAAGGGACCTCTTAAGATGATATCACAATATCTAGGTGACTAGGTACATACAATAATTATATGATCAGACTAGAACTTAATTTCTCACAAATTATTCAAACTACCATTTCTCGACACAGCTCATAATACTAAACTATACTATAGTGTATTCTAAAGACATGTATATTTTTCAATTTAGTTAAAAAATAGAAATTTGAAAATGTGAATAATGGCCTAGTTAGTAGTTGACAGGTTGTTACTTGTAGGTAACCATCACTCGATACAAATTCGATACTTTTAATGAAAACTTGATCACTAGATACTTTTTATTGTGGTTTGCRACCATCTGTCTATGATACTAGTCATCTGCAGATCAAACGAACTTTAAAACATTATACAATTTTCATTCTGATGGGATTGTGTTTAATATTTTTGGTGTGCTATTCAATATGATATTTTACGTGTAAATCAAAATGTACAATAACACTTAATATATTTTAAATTGTTATTGTGAATAATATGAAATATTATTTGGCACCTGATATTTCAAATGTATATTAGTATTTATATCAATCATCAACACATCTATTCATTAYGGAAACTATTTTTAGAAAGCATGTCACAAACGCACATACATATAAAGTTCAACCAACTAACAGTTAGGTCTAACGAGAATAAACGTAAGTACTTCTGCAGTATAAGCAATGTTGTATACATACTTAGTTGATATTATATAATATTGTAGTAATGTAAAAAGGAGGAGAATTTGAAATGTATATGTGTTTACCTCTTTTGTGTATATCATGTATACACTCTATATTACTACCTTCTTATATGTATATATGTATACACATGCAAATACATATATGCATATAAGGTTTTGATTATTTATACATTAAATTAACTTACCCTACTTCGACTGAAGTCTTTTTGAGTGTTTGATGGACGAAGGAAGGAGAGGTTTTAACACTAATTAATTTATAATTCAATATTAATTGACAACACAACTGTTAATTTAGAGGTATATAAAAAGAGCATTTATTATTTGAGACACAGAAAAATTACATTTGAAATATCTTAAATCGGCTCACCACGTATGTCTGACGCTAAGGGCGTACGCAGAGAGAGTGACGTTGCATATATCTGGCCGATGGTTGAAGGGTATCGTCCGAGCACAGAATAGATAGAACAGATTTTGTATAAAATAACATAACAATATATGACCACAGATGTTTATTATAATATAAATATCTATGTGGCTGTATAATACCATATTATAATATAATATATTATGTTGAGGGACATGATGATGACACTCTTTTTAGTATAACCTAGTTGTGAAGAGTGGCTATCATTACAATATTGTTAGTGAAGCCTAAAAAAAGCTATAATATGTTTGCCTTCATAATTATGAAAAACAACAACAACGGCGTAAAGGTCAATCATTTATTAGTACAATTTATACTTTGCGTATAGTTACGCCGTGTCACGTACAAACCTCTTGGAAAAAAGAAAATGAAGAAAAAAATTTTTAGTCCTAGAAAGTTTTACAGTCAATGTCGTTCTTTACTGTAGACGCACCAATCTCGTAAAATTGAGTTCAATAAGTTAAGTAACCAAAATACGAAAGTATTGTTTATAGATGAAATAATGTGTATAAATTATTATTGCGTAT